TTTTTTTTTTTTGCCATAGGGCGCGTGCACTCATCGAAGAGAGACAGACAGAGATGGTGAGAGGGAAAGGGATAAATCACCCCCTACCCCAGAGAGGATGGCCATTCCGCAATCCCTTCTCCTCTATTCTCCTTTGGGGTCTTGGGCATGCACGTCTACACACCCAGTGTGATTTTCAAGCCACCAGGTCTGGGACTCGAACCATGGTCAACCATGTGGGAGTCCAAGTGACGTAACCACTGTGCCACCTGCTGGCCCCAATCCTAAAAGGATATTTATGGTGCACTGTTGGGAACAAACACAAGCTGCTCTTAAACACTTGTCTATTGCATGAACCATTTCTGCTGTCAGAACTGCTGTATAGGCCCAGCCGCAGGAGGTACTGCTATTCAGCCCCACAATGTTGGAGGCCCAGGTTCAAGACCCAGCTCACCCTAAAAAGTCAGGCAAAGTGGCATGTACCTGTAGTCCAGCTACTTGGTAGGCTGAAGCAGGAGGATCAGGCAGTAGGAAGGCCTGCAGGTGGTGTAGTGCTTAAGGTGCAGGACTGCCATATGGCCGACCATGGTTCGAGTCCCAGATCTGACAGCTTAAAACTCATACCAGGCAGTGTGTATGCATGCCCAAAATCCCAAGAGGAGAATGGAAGAAGAGAGATTGTCATGGCCATCCCACTTTCTCACTTTCTCTCTCTCTGTCTCTGTCTCTCTGGCGAGCCCACATGCCCTAAAGCAAAAATCTTTGGGAGCTAGATAATAAAAAGGAAACAGGGAGACAATATCCTGGAAGGAGAAGGAGAAATTGCTGCCCATGTCTGTATGTGTGTATCCATACACCACATGGAAGGTGGGTAGGGAGGGTATCGGCCAAGATTTGCACTCAGTACTGTGTCCTCACCTATGGGCTGGTCAGAACCATCTTCCCTCTGGGTAGATGGAAAAGGCTGTGGTGCATGAGGCCACCCCACACAGCAGCTCGGGTTATGCTAGTCTGTGCTGGGTGAGCCAGACCGCAAGCGGCCAACTGCATGGTTCGAGTCCCGGCCCATCAGTTTGAAAAACATACTGGGTGCATGTGCATGCATGCCCCATTCTACGGTGCGTTCTCCCTCTTTTTTCATTGAGTACGTGCTCCTTTTGGTAAATGAAGGGGAAAAAAAGTTACAGACATTCTTCAATCTTTTGAAAAGCCAAGCAGAACAGTTGAAAGGCGCAGACAGGGGGCGCTCCTGTTCCTACCATCAGACTGTGCTAGTCACAGTTCGCTGGGGTTGCCTTTCCGCCTGTCTGCCCACCCTTTCATCCGGCTGACTTTTCATGCATTTCACAGTAAGTAATGGACCTCGGCGTGTGCATAAGGGTTCGTTATGAAAAATATACAGGGGCCAGCAGGTGGAGTGCTGACTAAGGTGCTGGAATCCCACGTGGTTGACCGCAGTTTGAATCACAGATGTGGCAGCTTGCTTTTTCACTCATCTCCCCCAACCCCCATCAAATTTAATAATAATAATAAAATTATTCTTTACAAAAGAAAAAAAAAATATATATATACACATACACATAGGGCCAGCAGGTGGTGTTGTGGTCGGGGTGCTGGACTCCCACATGACCAATTGCACTTTGGGTCCTGGACCCGCAGATTGAAAATCATACTGGGCATGTGTGCCCAAAATCCCGGGAGAGTGGAGAAGGGATTGCAGTGTGGCCATCTCTCCTCGGGGTGATTTCTCACTTTTCCTCTCTCTGTCTCTTTCTCTCTCTCTCTCTGGCAAGGGCACATGCCCTGTGGCAAAAACCTTAAACAATTACAACAAAAATACAGAACTGTAATCATGTCAGACTCGGGCAGCGGAGAAACAGCCAGGCAGGTGGGACTGGTTGCAGTGGGGAGAGATTCCTCTTCCTGTGGCTTGACCTGGGTAACTTCTGGGTGGGCTGTCATCCTGGCGGTGGCCGCCGTGACAGCTAGTGACCAGCCTGTCTCCCTTGTCCTCCCCAGCTGGAGCCGGACGGACTGCTGGTGTGGGTGCTGGCCGGCGCGCTGGGGCTCAGCCTCACCTTCTCCCTGGTCTCGGTGCCGCTGCAGTGCTTCCAGCTCGGCAAGGGTTACGGCTTCTGCCTGCTCCTCTTCTACCTCAACTTCCTGGTCATCGCCCTGCTCACCGAGTTCGGAGTGATCCATCTGAAGAGCGTGTGACCAACGCTGAACTGCCGAGCCCACCCGGTGGCGTGGAGATGACACCCTACGCGGGGCCGCTGTGAGGGGAGCACCTTCAGCAGAGCCCACACGGGCGTGAGCAGGCTGCAGGCTCCTGTGGACGGCTCTTGCTGCTGCTTTGTGCGGGGGGACAGCAAAGTCCCTCTATGGCCAACGCCAACAGCCTCAGTGCTAGGCCCTTGGAGACTGGGCTTTGCTGTGGGTGAGGAGTCCGGGACAAAAGCCTCTCTCCAGATCCTCTCTGGGAGGTTGGAGGCTGGACAACAAAGGGGACTGGGTGCCCACGGGGCTGTGCCAGAAGAGCCCTGGAGCGTTTGGGGCCGCGGGCACCTGCAGAGTCGCAGCTCCCGCCTGTTCCTCCTCACTGGGCTTCAGGCCTTCCTGCACCTTCTCAGGGCCCAGAGGCCGCCCAGCCCTGGCTCAGCACCAGGATGACTTGGACAGGAGGGCCCAGGGTGGGTCCTCGCACTGCGCCATCTGGCGGAATAGGACGTGAGCCGTAGCTAAGCGTGACCTTCCTAGCTGCCACGTTAATAAAGCCGAAGACACAGGAGGAAGTAATGGCAATGCGTTTTATCGAGCCGTTGGTTCCGGAATACCCTCTTGGCTGGCAGTGCCATATAGGACAGCAGGGTGTTAAGACTCCCCATCGACAGCTTTGCCCATAGTTGCCCACGCTCCTCTGTGCTCAGAGCCTTGGTTTTCCCAGCAGCAAACCAGGAGGCAGCTGCTGCCCCATGCCTACCTCAGAGGGAGCGCTATGGGGGGCGCCCAGGTACCTTCTCGCCTTTTAAAAAATATACATTAACTTTTTTAGAGGTTTTTGCCATAGGGTATGTGTGCTCACTGGAAAGAGAGACAGAGACAGTGAGAGGGAAAGTGAGAAATCAACCCCAAGGGGGATGGCCATGCCACAATCCCTTCTCCTCCATTCTCTTCCTGGGATTTTGGGCATGCACGCACATGCACCCAGCATGATTTTCAAGTCACTGGATCTGGGACTACAAACTGCGGTCAGCCATGTGGAAGTCCAGCACCTTAACCACTACGCCACCTGCTGGCCTGTCTTACTGCCTTTTAGATAAGCAGCTCTTCAGTTTGCCTGGCTGCCTTATGCCAGTGGTAAAGAAAAGGGATCAAGGATGAGCAGTTAGCGTAATGGCTATGTCACTGAACTCTCAAGTAGCCGACTGCAGCTCGAGTCCCGGACCTGGTGGCTTAAACTCACACCACGTGCGTGTGCGTGCGTGCCCAAGATCCCGAGAGGAGAATGGAGGAGAAGGGATTGTGGCATGGCCATCCCCCCTGTGATTTCTCGCTTTCTATCTCTCTGTCTCTCTCTGTCTTTCTGGTGAGCACATGTGCCCTATAGCAAAAACTTCTGCAAAAAAGAAAGAAAAGGGATTAGCTGGGGTTTTTTTCCCCCAAATTCAAAAGTGATGAAATATTTTAAGTATGCAGAAAATAACCTACACCCAACTCTTTTTTTTTTTTTTTTGAGAGATTTTCGCTATAGGGCGTGTGCGCTCGCCAGACAGACAGAGACATAGAGACAGAAAGCGAGAAATCACCCCCCAGGGGGGTGGTCACGCCGCAATCCCTTCTCCTCCATTCTCCTCTCGGGATCATGGGCATGCACGCACACGCGCCCAGCGTGAGTTTTAAGCCACCGGATCCGGTACGCGAACCGTGGTCGACTACGTGGGAATCCAGCGACATAGCCATTACACTACCTGCTGGTTCCCAGCCCAACTCTTCTTGATCCTCCTTACCTGGTCAGGGGATGAGCACTTTCTCCAGAGTTCTTGGTCCATTTGTGTGAAGTTCACAGAAATACCCGAGACTGGGTAATTTATAAAGAAAACAACGGTGGGCCAGCCTGTGGCCTGGTGGTTAAGGCAGCTGGATCCCACCTGGCTAGCTGCACAGTTCTAGTCCTGGACCCAGAGGGTGTGTGTGCATGCTCCAAATCTGGAACGGGGCGATATGGAGAAGGGATTCCAGGAAGACAACCCCTCATAGCGGGTCCTTTCTCTCTCCCTCTCTGGCAAGCACATCTACCCTCTGGTGAGTTAAAATAATAAAAGAAGGTGCGAGCAGATGGTGTCATGGTTATGTTACTGGGCTCCCACGTACTTGACCACGGTTCGAGTCCCAGACCTGGCAGCTTAAACCTCACGCCAGGTGTGTGTGCGTGCCCAAAATCCTAAGAGGAGAATGGAGGAGAAGGGATTGTAGCGTGACCATCCCCTCTGAGGGGTGATGTCTCAGTTTCTGTCTCTCTGTCTCTCCCGTGGGCACACATGCCCTATAGCAAATCTCTCTCAGAAATAAATAAATAAATAGATTTGAAAAGCTCATGTTCCTGGCAGCTGGCAAGTGCGAAGGCATCACAGAATGGCAGAGCAGGGCATGGTCTGCATCCGCGTGGCTTCTCTTACTCTGACTTCATTCCCTCTGCTTACAGACCCGCCAGAGCAACTGCAGGGCCCTGCCCTGATGACCCTCTGACACCCAAAGGCGCCACTGCGGGATGCCACGAAGGAATTAAATTTTCACTCAACATGTTTTCTTTCTTTCTTCCTTTCTTTCTTTTAAGTCTTTTGCTGACAAGAAAGTAAGAAATCACTCCCTGGGGGGTGGGAGGTGGCCACACTACCACAATCCCTTCTCCATTCTCCTCTTGGGATTCTGGGCATGCACGCACAGGTGCCCAGCATGATTTTCAATCTGCCAGGGCCGGGACTCGAACGATTGTGTTGGGAGTTCTGAGCCTTAACCACTATGCCACCTGCTGGCTCCTCACTCAACATTTTCAAGTCCCCAAAAAACACATGAATGTCTAGGGACATCTAATCACCATCCACTATGGCCAAATTCCATGAACCTTTGGGGGAACGAACCATCATCCAAACCGTAAGTAACACGGGGCTTTGTGGCAAGGCCGAGGCAGGTCAGGAATGGCCACAGGGGCCCTCTCCATCCCCCACACCACCAGAAGTCACCAGGCAGCAGCCACGTTTACAAAGCAGAGGCTTTTATTAATAGGCCAGAAATCCGGAGACAGTGGGTTTCCAGGTAATAAATCAACAATGTACAAAACCTGACAGCGTTGCTCCCGCGATCCGTACAAAATGATTGTCCGCGTGGCATGGAGTAAGGCTGGGCTGGGGAGGGGAAGCGAGGAGGGACCAGACAGTGTTACCCCAAAGCGCCTTCGGCGGGGAAGAGGTGGGCACTGCCATGGCCGCCAGAGCCAGGCAGCGACCTGGAGCCATCGGTGTGTCACCAGGTGCGCTCAGCTGTGACATGGGGCATCGGCTAGGTGATGTCCAGGGCCCTCAGAGCTTGGCCCTGGACAATACCTGTGCCCTGTTCAGTGGGCAGGTGTGAATGAGGGTGACCCTGTGAGGACAGCTACCCTTAGCCTCGGCACTGACCAGAGTCTGACCGGCCAGCACTTCGGTCATTTTGCTTTCCTCGGATCCTGGCTTAGGCCAGGACTGGGATGAAGGACCAGTTAACCCTCTCTGAACAGGGCTGAGATCCCGCCTGTCCTGGGCCAGCCTGACACTCCCCAGGTACAAAGGCTGGTCCACGCACACGCATGTACCCCCTCGGCTCCCGGGGGGTGGATGAGGCCAGATGCTCCTATAGAAGCTGCCCTGCCCTACTCCCAATGCCCATCCAATACACAAAATAACAAGGCACCCAGTTGTGCAAATGAAGCTCCTTCTCTGGAGAGGAGAGGGGTTCTGGCTTGGGGCCGAGCTCCCTGGGTGGCCGATGGCCTCCAGAGGCCGTCCCCTGCCTCCCCTGGGAATCACAGTGGTTCTCGGGGAGTCACTGTTTTCCTAATGGGGTGTGCTTTAAAATGACTTCCCCGGATGGGGGCGGGGGGGACTGTGCCTGACCCTGGAGGTGGCTGGGGTGGACAGTTGGGAACCAGGTCCTATGCCCCAGGGTCCGGTTCTGCCCTCCTCCCGCCTCTGAGGTGGCTGCGGATGATCCAGGAGGCTCGCGGGTGGCAGCTGCGTCCTCTCCACACCCTTCACCCCTGCTCCTGCGAAGCCGCCTGCACTGTGCTTGGTTTTGCAGCCCAAGGGAGCTGAACGAGTGCAACCTCCAGCCGCCCCCTGCTTCTGCTGCCATCCTCCACGGCTGGCCACCCTGGCAGCCTACTCTGGATTCCAGAGCTCCTGTCCTGTTTTAAACCCACTCCCATAACGCGCCAGGGAAATGAGACTGCCTGAGCGTTCACGGAACCAGCTTCCGCACCAAGCACTCTTGTTACCGGAGACCTGGAAGTGAGCGAGTGCGGGGAGGGCAGCTGCCTTGGGTGAGCAGGAGTCGGGCACAGGGCTGCCTGTGGACGTGAAGCCTGGTCTATACTGCCCGCTCCCACTCCCGCTCCAACAGGGGCCCCATGCGTGTGCTGGGGCTGGAACACAATCCATAACTAATCCAAACGATGTCCTTTGCTGGAACAGGTAAGTTGAAAGGAAAAGGGATCTCGTCCAGAAAGCCCATTCTAGGGGCTGGCCTGGAGCCCACAGAGGCCACCGTGGAAGGATTTTGCAACAAGGATTGAACCAGGTAGGGGAAGAGGCTTACAGAGCCAGCAAACAAGGGGATCTGGCCACGGGGCAGAACCACACCCCGCAACCACTCCTCCTGTTCAGTCCATGTGTGCAGACCCCAGAGGGGGTGTCCTAACACATCATCAGACAGACAAATCCCGGCCCCGGGGTTTGGGGTTCCTTCTTTCCTAAGTGGTTTTGTCCCTAAAGCAGGACACAGACCCGTGATGTGGGCCACAGGGAAATTAGTGGGACCCCGCCAGGTGGGAGGCAGGGCTGGAAGCAGCAGGAAGTTGGGTTTGAATCTAACCTGCCCAGCGAAGGCTGGCCCACTGAAGGTTGGCCTGCAGGGCCCAGTGAGGTCTGCCCGAGTGGTCTTGTGAGGGCGGCTTCTGGAGCTTTCCATGGTTAGGAAGGGCTCAGTGGCAGCCTGACCCCTAACTCCTTCAAGCCAAACTGACTTCTGGAGGGGGTTACAGACTGCACCCCGCCTTGTCCAAGAGGGCTTCCGCGCGCTGGGGCTAGGTGATGGTCGGAGAGCGCTGGCGGCTACTGGGGGGCTGCTGGGTGGCGGGGCCCAGGCCGCGGCCGCTGAGCTGTCGCTGCTGCTCCTCCTGCTCCCGCGCGTGCTCCTCGTACCACTCCTAGGGCAGAGAGCGGGCAGGGGCTGAGGGCTGCGTCCTCCTGGCCACCCCTCATGCCCCGCCTGAGGGGTCACCCAACAGACAGCCCACAGCGAGTGTCTCTGCCTGCTGGGGTGGTAGGTGGGGAGTCCAGGACGGGGCAGACAGCTGCTGGCCCTGACCTGATCGGGGCTGAACCCCCGACATGCTAGGGATTCTGAACATGTTCCCGAATCAGAAAATGACAAAACCTTTCTCTTGGGATCAGCAGTTGGTGTAATGGCTATGTCACTGGACTCCTATGTAGTCACCCGCAATGCGAGTCCCGGCCCCGGTGGCTTAAACTCATGCCAGGTGCGTGTATGTGCGTGCCCAAGACCCCAAGAGGAGAATAGAGAAGAGATTGCGGCGTGGCCATCCCCCCTGGGGGGTGATTTCTCACTTTCTGTCTCTCTCTCTTTCTGGCGAGCGCACGCGCCCTATAGCAAAAACCTCTAAAAAAATATAATAAAACCTTCTCTTATTAATTACAGGTTGGTGCACCTCTTTGCAAAGTGTGCTTGGCACGTGTCATTTTTTTTTTTTTTTAAAGAGGGAAAAAGAGGGACTAACAGATGGTTTAATGGTTATTTGGCTGGACACCCACATGGTCGACTATGATTTGAGTCCCAGACCCTGTGACTTGAAAATAACGTGCACATGTGTGTGTGTCCAAGCTCCTAGAAGGAGAATGGAGAAGGGATTGTGGTGCGGCCATCCTGCCTGGGGGCTGTTTTCTTACTTTCCCTCTTACTGTCTCTTTTTTTTAATCTGATGAGCGCATGCACGCTAAGGTAAAAACCTCTTTTAAAAAAAAAGGGGGAACCAACAGTGGTTTGAGTCCTAGATCTGGTGGCTTAGAAATCACACCAGGTGCATGTATGTATGTGTGCCCAAAATCCCAAGGGGAGAATGGAGGAGAAATTGTGGTGTGGCCATTGCCCCGGGGGGTGATTTCTCGCTTTCTGTCTCTCTGTCTCTCTCTGGCGAGCGCACATGCCCTATAACAAAAACCTCTCCAAGAAAAAAATAGAAAGAAGTACACCCCAGGATTTCTACCATCGAAGACCCTCTGCCCAGACTTCACCCTCCTGCTCCCCAGATCTAGCCAGAGAATACAAGGGAACTACCCTATAACAAAAACCTCTCCAAGAAAAAAATAGAAAGAAGTACACCCCAGGATTTCTACCATCGAAGACCCTCTGCCCAGACTTCACCCTCCTGCTCCCCAGATCTAGCCAGAGAATACAAGGGAACTACGGAAATGTCAGATAAAGAGTTTAAAATATTCATAGTGACAAAGCTAACAGAGATGCAAGAGAAGAGAGACAGGGAACTCCAGAAGATGCAGGAGAAAAGAGACACTGAGTTCTAGGAGATGAGGAAGTTTTTACACAATCTGAAAGAGGAGATACACATCATAAAAGAGAATCAAATGGAATTGTTAGAGATGAAGACTGTAATATAGGAAATCAAAACTTCTGTTGAAAGTACCAAAAGCAGATTCAATCATGCAGAAGATCGAATCTCAGATGTAGAAGACAGAACCTCTGACCTAGAAAAATTCACCAAAAAGACTGAGAAAATAGCCCAAAAAATGAGAATAAATATGAGTAATACTAGATACTATTAAACACCCAAACATCTGGATCACAAGTATCCCAGAAGGTGAAGAGACTAACAAGGGCATTGATAATCTAGTTCATGAAATCCTGGAAGAAAACTTTCCAAACCTAGAGAGGCACTCAAATATCTAGACTCAAAAAATACAAAGGATCCCACATAGAATCAACTCAAGAAGATCTTCCAAGGCACATCATAGCCAGATTGACCAAAATCACACAAAGAGACAAGATACTAAAATTGGCAAGAGAGAAATGTCAAGTTACTTTCCAAGGATATCCCATAAGGCTAACATTGGTCTTCTCATTGGAAACAGATCTGCTAAATAATTTCTTCAATAATTATTAACCTCCCACAAGCAGAAAGTACCAAATCCAGTTGGGTTCACTGGTGAAATCTATCAAGTATTTAAGGAAGAAATGATACTAATTACTTATCATCTGTCCAAAAAAATAGAAACCGAGAGAATATAGAGGCCCAGAAGATGGTGTAATGGTTATGTTGTCAGACTTCCACAGTCAACTGTAGCTCAATCCCAAATTCAGTAGCTTGAAACTCACACTGGGTGCATATATGTGCATGCTGAAGATACTGAGAAGAGCGTGCAGAAGGGACTGCAGCATGGCCACCCTTTGGGGGATGATTTCTCACCTTTCTGTGTCTCTCTCTGTCTCTCTCTGTCTGTCTGGTGAGCACACGCGCCCTATAGCAAAAACCTCTCCAGAAAAAGAAAAAAGAAAAGAAAAAAAGAAGTGCTGAAGGGAGTGCTATACCAGGAATACTAAAGTTGGATACACAGAAGAAATAAGAGTACACAAAACAACCAAGAGAATGGCCGGCCTAGTGGTAGGGACAAGTGTGGAGTTGAATGTTAACTTCCAGAGTTTAAATGAAAAGATCAGACCACAAGAACACTGCAAATTCAATAGAGAGATTAAGTGAGTCTGAACTAGTGAAATAGAATTTTGTGACTTTAGACTAAAACAGTACCGATTTTCTTCGATGCTTTGATTTCCATATTTAAAGACTTTGGTCTTCTCTTGAACTGGTGATAGGTTCATTTACCTACTATTTGAACTGAATCTTAACCTTTTTTCTGGCTTTAAGCAATTTAGAGGTTTTTGCTATAAGACTCACGCGTTTGGCAGAAAGACAGAGAGAAACAGAGATAGAAAGCGAGAAATCACCCCCCAGGGTGAATGGCCACACCGCAATCCCTTCTTCTCCATTCTCCCAGATCTTGGGATCTTGGGCACGCACGCACACACACCTGGCATGAGTTTAAGCCACCGGGGCTGGGACTCGAACTGCAGTCGACTACATGGGAATCCAGCGACACAACCATTAGGCCAACTGCTGCTCCCAAAACTGTTTTTCTTGAAATTAAAAAATGCATTAAAAATACCTATTAATACCTATTTAATGACTATCTAGCCCCAACGAGATGCTACTTTATAGTATGTTCACTTTACTCACTGAGGTTTACGCCTGCATTCATAGCTGTGCTGCTATTGAAAGTTTTTAATTAAGATCTTTAGTGAATCAATAAAATGTGAAAAATAAAAAGGCATGGAAAACAACTGTATGTACCAGAGACAGTGGGGGAGGAGGGAGGGAATTGACAGAGGGTGAGAGGCAGGAAATCGGGGGTGGGGCAGAAACAAAATACATTAAAAAAAAGAAACAGAAAATTATTTGTTGATGATAACACGTATGGTAATATCCTTGACTGAGCCAATATACAGTATATTCTGGGTGGAAAAATCTCATTTTGCATACTGTATTGGTGTACAGTGAATGACTGTAAATATATAAATTTTTTTTTTTTTTGAGAGAGGTTTTTGCTATAGGGCACGTGCGCTCGCCAGACAGACAAAGAGACAGAGAGACAGAAAGCGAGAAATCACCCCCCAGGGGGGATGGCCACGCAGCAATCCCTTCTCCATTCTCCTCTTGTGATCTTAGGCACGCACGCACACGCACCCGGTGAGAGTTTTAAGCCACCGGGTCCAGACGCGAACTGTGGTCGACTACATGGGAGTCCAGCGACATAGCCATTATGCTAAACTGCTGGTCCCAATAAATAAATTTTTTTAAAGTACACTCTACTTTTTTTTTTTTTTAGAGGTTTTTGCCTTAGGATGTGTGTACTCTAGAGAGAGAGAGAGACAGAGACAGTGAGAGGGAAGGTAAGAAATCACCCCCCGGGGGGATGGCCATGCCGCAATCCCTTCTCCATTCTCCCCCTGGGGATCTTGGGCACGCACACACACGCACCTGGAGTGTTCAGGTCACTGGGTCTGGGTGTGTGCACTTGTGCTCTAGCCCCCAGGGGTCTGTGAGGCAGAGACTGAGCCCCTCACAGCGGGTATGCACTGAGTGACTTGCCCAAGGTCACCGGAAATCAAACCCGTTCAAGACATTAAAGCTCATTATTTCCATGTCTCTGTGATATCAAGATGACAGAGCCCCTACACCAGGGGACATCAAAAAGTTTATGGAAGGGGGCCTCCAGTTGGCATGGTGGTTAAGGTGCTGGGCTCCCACATGGCTGGCTACAGTTCAAGTCCTGGACCTGGTGGCTTGCCTGCTCACTTTTTCTCTCTCACCAAATTAAAAATAATAATAAATAAAATAAAATAAAGTTCAGGGAGAGACCAGACCGTGGTACAGTGGGAATGCAATGCTCTGCGAGGCCAACCTATGTGAGAAGGCCCCCAGTTCACGTCCCGGGACCTCTCTGAGGATGTTGAGGGTAGATCATGGCATTGGGACCCCACTGGGGTGCTATCTGTCTCTGTTTTTCTATCTTTCTCTCACTATCATTTAAAAAAGAATTATTTTACTTTATTAATTATTGTTATTTTTGAATTTGGAGAGACAGAGAGACAGAAAACAAGAAATCATTCCCCAGTGGGCATGGCCACACCGCAATTCCTCCTCCCATTCTCCACTCAGGATTTTGGGCACACATGCACATGCACCCAGTGTGAGTTTCAAGCCACCAGGTCTAGGATTTGAACCATGGCTGACCATGTGGGAATCTAGCGCCTTAACCACTACACCACCTGCTGGTGCTAAAGATCTGGTCTCCCTTAACCACCAGGCTGTGGGGCCAACACCCATGAACTCTTTTTTTTTTTTAGAGATTTTCACTGTAGGGCGCGTGCGCTCGCCAGACAGACAGAGAGAGACATAGAGACAGAAAGCGAGAAATCACCCCCCATGGGGGATGGTCACGCCGCAATCCCTTCTCCTCCATTCTCCTCTCGGGATCTTGGGCACGCACGCACACGTGCCCGGCGTGAGTTTTAAGCCACTGGGTCTGGGACACGAACCGCGGTCGACTACGTGGGAGTCCAGCGACATAGCCATTACGCTAACTGCTGGTTCCCAACACCCATGAACTTTTGGAAGACGCCTCACACATCTGCCTGAGGAGCACCAACCCTGCTCCCTGCTCCGTGTGTCTCTAGAGAGGAAGTGAAAGCCCTCGGGGAAAGGCAGCTTCCTGGGCGTGGACTCTAGTAACTGAAAACCTGCCAGTGGCCTCTCCCAACACCGGGATGCCAAGGTGGAAAGGAAAACGCAGAGCAGGGCTTGTCACCAGGGGCCTGTGCAGTGGTCCTGCCCAGAGGCCATGGCACCAGCCTGCATGGTGCCTTGCGAACTATTAGACTTGCCAATATGGAAAGATGGAGAGATCGTGCTGCCAAAAAAAAAAAAAAAAAAAAAAGCAACAACAACAACAACTCTGCCTTCTCTTGAATAAAGACAGAAAAAACAATCAACAAACCCAAGATACCTGGGCCTATCAGGGCCTCATTCCTAAGAGCGGCCCTGGGCAGGAACTGGGAAGAGGCCACCCTGTGCATGGACGTGTCCTTGCAGGCTCACATGCCCTGCCTACCCCGAGTGGGTGTGTGTGTTGCGAACACGGTCACGTTTGCAGCTCTGGCTCGGGAAGAGATGGAGCGGGAAGTCTGGAGACTACACTAGGGGCAGGGGTATACACTGCAGGGCCAGGCGGAGAGCCGGCCCCGTGGTTCCAGGTTCACACAGCCCCAACCCCAGGCCCAGGCACCACTAATGGTGTTCCCCAGGATGCCCGCGCGCCCTCGCCCAAGCCTGTACCCTCTCCTGCGGGCCCAGAGGGCAGCCCCTGTTTAGCAGGGCAGGATCTGGGCTCCTACCTGGATCTCCTCCTGGTACATCTTCAGGCTCAGGTCACTTTTGGTCCTAGATCTCCGTCCCAGAAACACCACGGAATTTTGCTGAAGAGCAGAGACGGGGCCGACAGGTGACAAAGCGGTTAAGGTGCTGGGTTCCCACATGCTGGCTGCAGTTCGAGTTCCAGGCCTGGTGCTTTGAAACACGTCTGGCACCTGTGCACAGGTGCCCCAAATCCCAAGAGGAGAATGGAGGAGAAGGGATTGCGCCGTGGCCATCCCCCTGGGGAATGATTCTCGCTTTCTGTGTCTGTCTCTCTGCAAGCGCATGCGCCCTCTAGCAAAAATCTCTCAAAAATAAAAAAAGGAAGAGTGGAAGCTGGGGGACCCCCAGGTGAGGGCTGTGGTGCCAGGCAGGACACTCCTGTTCCTCCAGGTTTTGCAACGGGGCCACCCAAATGGGTCACCAACGTTTGGGGGGGGACCACGCGACGCTAGCCCCCGCTCCCGGAGGGACGAGGCCTGGGTTCCTCACCTGGTACTTCTCCAGCTGGGCAAGAGTCTCGAGCAGCCGGGTGACATCTGAGGTGCCACCCCGTGCCTCCCGGTAGAGCTCCAGGACGGCCACCAGCTCTTGTTTGGAGATTTCCTTCTCCAAGGTGATGCCGCTGTCAACTGTGAAAAAAAGAGGAAAGAAAGGAGGGAGGGAAGGAGGGAGCCAGTGGCTCAGAGCCCTGCTGCGTGGTCATCATTAACCTTCCTCCCTGCCACCCCCATTCTCTCTCCAGCAAACCCTGGATCTACACGACCTGCCCTTCACCTCGGGCCACCTGCGACTCCCCTCCCGACCCCTGCCCATCCTGTGGCTCCAGGAGACGGGGTTTCGGGAGGGTGTCTAAGCAAAAAGAAACTGGCCAGGGACCAGAAGATGGCATGGCAGTTACGGCGTTGGACTCCTACATGGCCGACTGCGGTTCAAGTCCTGGACTTGGTGGCTTGAAACGTGCCAGGTGCATGTGTGTGCGCGCCCAAGGTCCTGAGGGGAATAGAGGAGAAGGGACTGCGGAGTGGCCATCACCATCTTCCCCTCTCTCTGTCTCTGTCTCTCTTTACGGTGAGTGCACGTGCCCTAAGGCAAAAACCTCTCCAAAAAAGAAAGAAAGTGGCCAGACAGCCTGGGATGACAGGTTCCAGAGTGAGTGGTGGCGGCTAGGCAGCTGGGTGGCGAGTTTGGAAAGAGGGGAGGAGCGGAGACTGCCGAGACCCGAGCTGCCGGGAGGAGCCAACGAGATGATTAACGCGCCAGTGCAGCCACGGGAGGAAGACCAGCCGCCTTGGCAGGTAACAGTATTTGCACATTTTTTTTTTTTTTTGAGAGGTTTTTGTTATAGGGCATGTGTGCTCACCAGACAGACAGACAGAAACAGAGAGACAGAAAGCAAGAAATCACCCCCCAGGGGGGATGGCCACGCCGCAATCCCTTCTCCTCCATTCTCCTCTCGGGATCTTGGGCACGCATGCACACGCACCCGGCGTGAGTTTAAGCCACCGGGTCTGGGACTCGAACCGCGGTCGACTACGTGGGAGTCCAGCGACATAGCCATTACGCCAACTGCTGGCCCCTAGTATTTGCGCCATTTAAATCGAGAAGAACCGTGGTAGGAGCACATTCTTTGGAAATGTGGAGAAAACGAAAAGAAGAAGCGGCTGAGTTAAAAGGCTCTGGGAACGGGGCGGCCCCAAAGGGCAGTGGTTACACTGTGTGCGTCGGGAGTTTACCCCGCGTGCACCTATACCCACAGTACCCATCTGTGGCCGAAATCCGGATGCGAAGGAGAAATGGAAAAGGAGGCTGCGGGTGGCAATACCCCCTGGGGCTGCTTTCTCTCCCTCTCTCTGAGTCTCTTTCTCTGGAGAGCACACATTCCTTCTTAAAGAATGTTTGGGGGGAGCAGCAGATGGCTTGATGATTATATCACTGGGCTCCCACATAGTCGACTGCGGTTCGAGTCCCGGACCCGGTGGCTTAAACTCACATGTGCTTGCGTGCCCAGGATCCCAAAAGGAGAATGGAGGAGAAGGGATTGCGGCGTGGCCATCTCCCCTGAGGGGTGATTTCTCGCTTTCCGTCTCTGTGTCTCTCTGTCTCTCCAGCGAGCTCACGTGCCCTATAGCGAAAACCTCTTAGAAAATAAAAAGTGTCTCTCAGAAAGGCAAGTAGGACAAAGGTTGCTTTCTCTATTGGATTTTTCTGGATAAGACATGGACCGCTTTTATTTTGAAATTAGACGGTGTGCGTTTTTCTGCCATAACAGAGTTGGAGATCAAAGCAAGTAAGAGATCTAGAGAGACAAGCCAGGGAGGTCAAATGAAAGGCCCGAAGCTGGACAACCTGATGACTGGACCACCAGCCAAAAAGCTAGACAGCCAGACAGCTGGACAACCAGTA